TTTAATTTCATCGACGAGGACACGGTACCAACTAAACATTCGAGTAACCGACACACTTTTTCGACCATGGCACTCAAGGTATTGTTGGTCGTGCAACTACCCGGTGTTTTGACTGTTTCTTACCCAACAGTCGAGCCCGGATTTTCTGACATTTTGATGCCGCCCAGACTCTCTCCGCAAAGGCGGCGGCGGCATTGGACAGGGAGTTGATGAGCACGGGCGCCTTCTCCATCGACCAGCTCATGGAGCTCGCCGGTCTCTCTGTGTCGCAAGTTGGTCGGTGCAAAAACACCCCGACTTATTTTACAATGAAGTCAAGTCTGGCTAACTCGGCCATACAGTCTACCGAGTTCATCCGGCCGAGAAGGGCAGACGAGTTCTGGTTGCAGTTGGTCCCGGCAACAATGGTGAGGGTGACAGCGTCTTTGTTTACTTTCGGGCGTGTTGGTCAGTGCGCTCACAGAGTACCATTCAGGGGGTGATGGTCTGGTCGCCGCCCGCCATCTCCGCAACTACGGGTACCAGCCGACCATCTACTACCCGAAACGACCCAAGAATGATCTTTACCAGGTAAGGAACCTTTTCTTTTCTTTTTTTCTTGTGTGGGTGTGGAAGATTGAGGATTCGATGTCCATCGCATCTGGTGCAGCCAGGGGTTACCCCTGGATTGTAATCGTCTCGGGTGCTCATGTCTTCATTGGCGTGATGGCTTTTGTCAAAATTGCTACGCCTAGGCATGCGGTGCGATCAGCTCTCGTGTATTTGCTGTCGGATATACACCTGCCAGCCCTGCTGGTTCTCTCCCGTTGGCAGGCCGCTAATTCGTCGTGTGTGTAGCGGCTTGCCAAACAGCTAGAAGACCTCGACGTCCCTTTTGTGGATGACTTTCCGACCGCACTGCAGTCGACCGACCATGTGATCGATGCCATTTTTGGTTTGTTCCTCCCCCTCTCCCACCCGACTTTTAAAAACTTTCCAACTAAACCGTTACGCAGGCTTCAGCTTCTCGGGCGAGGTCCGGGAACCGTTTCCAGCGGTGATCCAGGCCATGACGGAGACCAAAGTGCCAGTGACGTCGGTCGATGCCCCGTCGTCTTGGGATATCGAGGACGGTCCTCCCAAATCCGGTGTTGGCAGCAACTTCCACCCTGATGTTCTGATTAGCCTAACGGCGCCCAAACCTCTAGTCAAGCATTTCAGGGGGCGCCACTTTGTGGGGGGGCGGTACGTACCACGTTTCCACGCCCTGTCTGCCCTGATTGCCTCAGCTGATTGCCCGAACCAGCTTCGTTGCGCCGGGTATTGCCGAGAAGTATGATTTTGATGTTCCGGCGTATGAGGGAGTCGACCAGATCGTCGAAGTCGGACCCGAGGGGTTGAAACTCTGATGCGCCGGTAATTGGAAGGGCCAGTCTGCCCTCCCCTTTCCCCTTGTGCTCCGACTACATCAAGGCACAACCGCCCCCTGGGCTGTTTGGGCAGATTCGACTCGGACAGCCGCCCTGCTCCATGACGATGCGTTGGATGGTGGTTCCGACGAGACAAGCCACCAGCGGAGGGCGAAAGTTTTTGCAGAACTCGACATAGATCAGGTAGTCCTTCCCACAAGCTGGACATACACTGCTATGATGCTCAATGCACATTAACGACGGCGGACCAGGCGTGTCCGGTGGGTGTCAAGCTCGGTTGCGTTGGTGGTGTCGATGTGTCGGGGACGAGAAGATGACATGGGGTTGGGGCGGCGCTGATGGCTTGGTTTGTCTTTCAAGGTGTGGCTTGACCGTAGGTATGTATATAAATCTTCGTGCGTGTGGCTGCTCAGACGGCAGCCCTGCGTTGTGTTGTGTGTGCTGCGGCCGGGGAAAGTACCTAGGTAAGGTAGGTAAGGTCAACTCAACCTCCAAGCTCTCTTTGGGGGAAGCGCAACAGGGTACCTAGGTACCTACCTACGTAGAGAGGCTTGGCACTGCCGAATAGGTGCGTCTCGCCACTGGAAACTTGTGTGAAGTGCTGCAAACTGATAGCCCGGGGGTGCTGCGGCGGCAGAGGCGAACCGCTGCGGCACGTCAAGGCAAGCCCTAGAGGTCTGGAAGGGGAAAGATTCGCTGGCCGCCAGGACCACGAGACGCAATCCCCCATTTTGCCATTTTCTCTTCCGCAAGCAAAGCGGTATGTTCGGTGGGACTTCGTACGGCCGGCGATCCGCACTGCGCTTCGCTGCCACCTGGGATCTCTCCGGTACGGATACGCAACGCCGGCACATGCTGCCCCGGACCTTTTGCTCCGGACTCGCCCGTGATAGGCTGGTGCGCTACGGGGCCGCATGGCAGTCCCGAAAAGAGGATCCTGTCTGGGCTTCCTGAGCAGAGCCCCGTTTTCCGGGAATACCTCGACTCCACGCCCTTGAGTGTTTGGGGCTGCAAAAACCAGCGGTGCCCGGTGGCATGTCGTTGGTTCAGTTGGTTCGGCTGGTTCGGCGGTGTCGCCGAGCTGGAGCTTGTCATCCGCACGGGCGCCGATCGCCAAATCTGGAAGGCACTTGAAGGGTCCCGAATTGGACGGGAAGTGCCCCAGCTGCCCAACAACAAGTCCAGATAAGGTCTAACGTGATTTACGGGGACCAGGGTGCCAGGGTGCCAGGGTCGTCCCTCACACATGTCGTGCATTTTACGGACCCTGCAAAAGCTCAGCTTTTCTGTCTTTTCCCTTTCCAATTGGCAAGCTCGAGGCAAGCTCCCCGCACCTCGGACGTCGGCTGACTTCCAGCTTGTTTGGCAATTGGCACCAACGGTTTCCTGTTCCGCTCGTCAAGTTGCGTGCTCTCTGCGTCGTCATCAAAACCAACAACATCATCTCATCTTTCCTGCTTCACCGTCCCCCAGCCAAGGCTGTGGCGTTGATGGCCTTGAGCTTCCGCCCCTTCCACGGAACGCGCCCCACGGCCCCTGCCCCTGCCCCGCAGCCTCGGGAACCAACCCACGCTCGAGCCAGAAGGAAAATCCAGGACATCGAGCTCGTCGGGCTGAGGTCTAGAACCCCGCCCACCCCCCACCCCCCACCGCTTGTCCGCCCAGCCGCCCTCGAGCCGCCCAACCACCGCCACGACAAACACTCTGTTTTCAGCTGATGTGGACATCGACACGCAAACAGGTCGGCGGCCCACGTCAACAAGTCCGGCTCGCAATTCCTTGGGGCGGCCGGGACCACCCGCAAAATATTTCAGGCATGAATCATGATGGAACCCATCACACCTCAGCGTTCGGGCCTCTGGATCCGGCCGCTAAGTGAGAGACTTTGGGCGGAAAGTTTTGCCCGGGACCTGTCCCCTTCGCCTCGGCGCTAAACTAAAAAAAATCCCAAATCGGCTTGGTGCTGTGGTGAAGGCAGCTTTATTATCCGCACACATCGATATTGCTGACCTACCAACACCGACAGACAGATGGACAGGGGCCCCCCAGAGGCGCGTGCAGGACCCTGAATCAACAACGCACGCCAAGTGAGGTCCCTGCGGCTTGGATTGGTCCCCTAACTATTCGTACCCCCGTCATTACCCATCATCAACTTGTTCAACAACCAACTCACAACTTACACAGACAGTTTAATAAAACAGGGTTAAAGTCAAAAGCCATTCAGCGCGCCTGCAGCCGAGAGACGACGTCGACTCCCACTCGTAACGTCGTGGAGGCTTGCCGACTCTATGAACCACTGAGGGCTGTATCCATAGATCTCCACAACCACCCCCCGAAGTTGGAACTCCTATGTAGAGATGGTACTCACAGCCGGCCAGCAAAAGGAAGTGTGGCTTGCATACGGCATGAGGTATGTACATACATACATACAACCCTACAGCTTTTGCCGTCGCTTCCCGCAGGTGCCACACCAAGGTCCCCATCATTCGTCTCGAGTGGGCAGCTCCGTCTTCCCGTTCGCCACACTTGTTACCCGATCCGATGCACCCGGCCTTCCGCCGTGGTGGAACTCACAGCTCGGCAGCCAATCCGCCGGTATTTTATCGCCCTCGCCCCCAAACTAGAGATCGACAACAGGATGCTGAAAAAGGCTTTCCCATGACGAATCCCTTTGCCACAGTCAACCATGGCTCACATGGCAATCTCGGTCAACCATGGCAATCTCTGCCACACTGAGCCACAGTCAACCATGGCAATCTCCGCTACGAACAAGCTTTCCGACTGTTCAGCGAGCTTTACGACTGATGTGTGCCGTCATGTGATTGTACATAAGCTCTCAACGTCCTCAAGCGAATGTTCATGCCTAATCAGATCAAGTCGCTTCCCCCCCCCACCTTTTACGGACTCGCCGCCCTGATCGACCAATGTGCTGATCTACTGTACTGTACTCGCAGTCCGTCGTATGCGTCTGAGGCGTCCTCGCCTGTCCTCGGGGTTGATAGGTTGTAGGTGGAACTTGGCACGAGCAAGCCACATCCCCCTGGTTCATCTCGGGCCCACGTCGAGCGAGTGCTCGGGAGCTAGCGCACAAGGATCCTGGCCCTGCGTTAAATGGCACCAGCCCTCGCAACCTGGGGCAGCCCGCCTTATTGTAGTCACGCGGCATCCGTCCGAGGAGCCGCTTTGGCTCGGCTGTGGGTGGGTTGGAAGGTTTGCTCCGCGAGGTGTCCACCATCCCGAGGTCTGGCATCGCCAACGACTCAAGGAGTTGAGGGACTGGGCAACTGTGGCAACGCATTGGACACGCGCATCGAGTCAAGGCAACAAGTTCGGTTTTGGTTGCAAGTTGTTGTCCTTGCACCGAGTAACTCTTACTAGCTGTCAAATATTGTCTAACTACCTGCACTCATCAAGTCAGGGTTAATACGGGGCAATTGAGCATGGCTATGTTTAGCCGTCCAATATAGTAGTAACAAGCAAGGCGAGCAAGACAAAAAGCAGAAAGTGTAAAAGTAAAAGAGTAAGTAACAAAGAATGGAAAGCAACAAAATAGAGAAAAAAATAGAAGAACCAGAGTCCAGACGGGAATTGAGCCCGACGTGGGGGTCGAACCCACAACCTTGAGATGATAACGTGATTAAGAGTCTCACGCTCTACCGATTGAGCTAGCCGGGCAGGCAGCTAATCATTCATCTGATTCGTTGGCTCCAGGACCGCCGCCGGTGCCTATGAACGCAGGAATGTGGGGCTGACTTACACCAACAGATATGTCAACCATCCGAGACTTATTGCCAGCCGAGACCAATGTAGATGGAACGAAGCTTTAATTATCGAGCATGGATCGTCAGACTAGGTAGGTAGTTATGACATGGGAGTGATTCAGGGCTCGACTTGATCCTCTATCACAAAAGACTCAATAAAGCTTAAAAGCTTAAGGCGTAAAGTGCAAAAGTTTTCTATCCAGGTCTCACAAGTGTGCTACTGCGGATAATGGCCACGACCACGAATATTCCCATCAGAATCAAGAGGACGAGCCAAGAAACGCAGGGGTATATTTGTCGTCAGCAGATGCCTGGTTCAGGTCGCCTGGTGCTCGCCCGACCTCTGCCTGCCAAACGCTCAACAAGCGCCGTCACACTATCTACCCTCACTCCCACCACAACATAGCGCTTGTGACCTCTTTGCAAAGACGGAGAGAAAAGAAGCCGCCATCAAAGAGCCTCGAGATCACCCAAGGACATGGACTAAAAGAGAAACAAGAAAATGACAAACATCCAAGATATCCGTCGCTAGCGCTACCGCCAAATCCAACTCAACTCTGACCGATCGTCACCCACGCTCTCTACCTGTACCCCCCGGAATTACCCCCGGAATTACCCCCCCAATACCCTTGATTCCCGCCGTTCCCTCCCTGTTCATACCCTTGGCCCTGCCAGTGGTTCTGTCCACCATACCCCTGACCCTGACCCTGCTTTTGGCCTTGATCCTGTCCATGGCCATCGTCGCCGTACCCGCCGGCAGTGAAGCTCCTCTTGGGCTGGGGGTGTGCGAGCTGCTGCGAGGGCGCCGGCGAGCCCCTGCGCATCTCGGCGTTGGGGCTCGAGTAGCTGCGGTTTGGCTGCGCAAACTGCTGCTGCTGCTGGCTCGGGCTGCGCATGCCCGCACCTGGGCCGGGAGACTGCGCGTGCCGTGAGGGCGCGGGCGAGCGAGAGCCTTGGTGCGAGCTGAAGCCGCCTGGTGAGGTTGGGGAGCGGGGGTTGTTGTTGCCGGGCCGGTCTGAGTAGAGGCCTGGGCTTGCGACGCGGGGGGATTGTGCGCCGTCACGGAGGAGAGGTACTGGGCTGCGCATGGCTCCGCCGCCGGCGGCTGCGCCGCTTAGGGCAGCGGCACCTAGCGAGGCGTCCCATCTGTTGTTGTCGAGCGGCGATGCGACGGTTGTGGGTTGGAGGTTCGGCGAGCTCGGCACGCTGTAGCTGTCTTGGTCGGCAATGCCGTCGCGGCGCATCTCCTTGGCGTTGTACTCGGTGGCGTTGTCGACGAAACTGTCCGGGTCGACGCCGGCCTTCCTGAAGCGCTCAAGCTCAACACGCTCGACCTCGGCGCGGGCCTCGGCAGCGCGTGCCTCACGGGCGCCGCGGCGGCGCTGCCGGATGCAGTAAAATATGGCAAAGATGGCGAGCAGACCGACAACGCCCCCGGCGCTGGCGTAGATGGCGATCTTGGTGGTGTTGGGCAGGTCGTTCCACTTATCCGAGATGGACTTTTCGGGTGGCGCATTGACTATCTCCTTGACGGTTGAGTTGCCCCTGCATGACGGTTAGTACCAGCCAGACTGTGCATGATGAAAAGTAGCGGATGTCAACTTACGCGACGATCTTGATACTCTCCCACGAGCCGCTCTTGTCACTGTACAAGTACTCCTTCCCGCTGCTGTAGTCCTCGACGTGGGCGCTCTTGACAAACATGTCAAACGGTGCCTGGCTGTAGTCGGTGTCGCCTCCGGCCCACTCTCGGGTCCCTGGGGGCATTCTCGGGTCGCCGCCGGCCCAAATACCAATGGACAAGCGCATCGGTGTTTGCGGGTAGTAGTACGAGTTGTTCGCATCCTTGGGCTCGAGCCGGCGAACCTTGTCCCCGTCGATGTAGAAGTCGAGGAAGTCCTTGGTCCAGATGGAAGTGTAGTTGTGGTAGTCGTTCTGGACGCCGCCTGCGACATTGTAGTACTCGGCATTGGGGACGTCGGGCTGGAAGCCCTTGCCGAAGTAGTTGCTCTGGGCGACCGTCTCGTTGCCGCCAAAGAACTCCCAGTCAATCTCATCCAGGTTGTCGCTCAGCATCATGATGGAGCTGATGACACCGGTGCCCTTGGCCGCCTTCAGATGGACCTCGGTGCGGCCCCAGAAGTAATAGAACTTTGACCGAATGGTTGGCGAGTCGCCCTGCTTGGCGAGCCTAAAGCCGGCTCCATCATTCGCATGCCAGGAGACAGGGCCGACTGTTGTTTCCCAAATGTTGACGTCTGGTGTGCGGTTGAAGTTGAAGTTGAGGTCCATGCCGAAGGCGGGGTTAGGGGGGCACGTCTTGTTCATCGGGAAGCAGTCGGTATGGACCTGGGCTGCGGCATTGCCGACGAGGGCGGACCACGCCAGCAGCGCAGCGGCTGAGGCGTGGAATGGGGATGGTAGCCACATGGTGATGTGGTCGGGAAAAGGTCGCTCTGCGGTACCTTAGTTTGTCGCCTTCAATGGTCACTGTTGCATGTCGTTATTCGCGTCGCAAAATGTCGCCAGGACTTTGATGCTTGCCGAGGGGGAGGGGAAAAAACAATAGTGGAAAATCGCGAGAAGAAAAATCGCTGTCAATAGACAAAAAAAGGTTGCTCGATGCGAACAAAAAGAGCGCGGTTCGCACAAAAAAGATACACAGTCGAGACGAGTGCCTCAATCTGTGAAGCAAGTGGTGTCTTGCTTCGAAAAGGAGCGGCTGTTGTTCTAAAGGAGCGGACTCGAGGGCCGAGGTGTAATGGTGCAATAGTGCACCGGGTGGTGAGATGGTGTTCTTGAGGAGGGGGTCGATGACGACTGGGAAAGAGCGGACACAGTGAGGGACGACATGGAGAATGAAGGGGTAAAAGGGGCGCGCCTTGATACGCAGGTACGGCTCGGAAACAGCTTGGCGATTACACCAAAGCGGGATAGCCCGCCGTGTGCACGGGCCAGCTTGCGGGGCCCCTGGAATTCTGCAACATGATCCGCGTTCAAGATTTGCCCTTTCCAGACTAGCAATTCTTGGAGCAGCAAATCAGAAGCTGTCAATTCACGGAGCAAGGAATGCCATGCCCTTGGCACTTGGCATGCTCGGGGATGGAATGGCTTGTCCACGATAAGTTCGCACTGACGATCCGGATCTTGCATTCAGGCACAAAAACATGGCAAAAAAATACCCGACGAAAAAGCAAATTCTTCAACGCCATTGTGCGGCTCAACAAATGTTTGCTCGAATGGCTAAGGAACTCCACGACACAACAAAAAATGACCGGCTAGCTCGGCGTTTCGAGTTGCAGCTTGCTCGCTCCCAATTTCTCGACGAATGGATGCGCCGGGATGCGCTGTCGAATTCCCTCCACGCAACAGTGGATGCCAACCTTAATGGCCGGGTATCTCGGAATCCATTGTTCGGCACACAAACCCGCTGCGCCGGTGTGTCGGAATCAGGAACCAGCCACCAACGGAAATGGCATTGATGACCATGCGAGACCATCGGGGGCTGGAACACGTCAAGCCACAGCAATCCGCCAAGTCACCTGAGAGCTTCCAAACAAAAGAGATCAAACGCAGCTTGTTCTACTCCCCCTTCCGCAACGAAACAGACACCCACATGTCGCGCTGCAGGAACAGGTTGTAGTTGATGCTCTTCCACGGCTGGTCGGGATTCACCAGTTGGAAGTCGAAACGGCGCAGCAACTGGGGGGAACGTTAGCACATACACAAACATTGTCAGTTGACTCGGACCGAAAACACTCACCTCCACAAACACCTTGTTCAACTCCAACATCGCGATCATCTTGCCCGCACACCCCCAACGGCCGTAGCCAAACACCAGCTCGGCCACGCGCCGCATCTCGGCCCGCTCGTCGGGGCCCGCCTCGAGCCAGCGCTCCGGCCGGAACACGTCGGCGTCTTCGCCAAACACCCCCCGGTGCCGGCCCGTCGTCACAAAGTTGGGTGCGATCAGCGTGCCGCCGGGCACGTGCCTACCATCGATGGTGTCGCCTTCGGGAGGGACCACTTTGAACGGGACGCCGGTGAAGGGCGGCTTGAGGCGAAGGCATTCGATGATGACCGCCTTGTCATCACGATCCAGTCAGTTTTGTTCTGAAGGTCGGGTCCGTTGGAGGGAGGGGAGTTGGGGGCATCTTACCTGCAGATAAGGCATCTCAGCGGCTTCAGCGTTGAGTATGGGGCTCGAGATCTTGCCAGCCTTGATGCCCTCGTCGATCTCGGCCTGAAGCCCGCGATAGGCGCGCGGCGTGCTCATGAGATAGAGCATGGTCGTGCGGATCGTGGTGGCCGTGGTGTCGGAACCTGCGATGATCTGGAGGAGTGCCTCCGTCTCGCACTCGCGCTGGGTCAAACCGTGGGCGATGAAGGAACCCTATTCCCAAAAGTAAGTTTTGCTCCTCCTATAACTCCTCACTAGCAGAGACATAACCTACCAGCATGTCTTTCTGCACTTTGGCATCCGGGCCGAACCGTTTCGCAACAAGCCCCCTGCCGGTGCTGTGGCTCCTCTATTAGCTTCACGACAACTCGAGAAACGGACATACAGGACGGACATACGCCATGAGTCTCCCAAGCCCTTTCTTGTCCCCTGGGCTCGGCCCTATCAGCCGGAGCACGAGCTTCGACCCCATGATGGCCCGGAGATAGGGGACGACCGCAACCGTTACAACCGACCGCGCCACGTCGTTGAGCATCTCAATGTGCCCGTGGATGTCCCGCTCCTCGCGGATGAGGCCAAACTCCTCTCCAAAGGCGATTTTGGAGATGGAGTCGAGCGTAAAGTACTGCACCATACTGGCCAGGTCAAGCATCGGCTTCTTCTCCCCGGACTTTTCACCGCCGGCATACTTGCTCCGGATCTTGTCGATCATCAACGCCACCATCGAGTCGATC